ATTTGCCAAAAATAGTAGAACCAGCTTTTTACTCTATGATTTGACTATTAGATGATCAATGTTTCTTTTGAATAAATAGTTTCACCATAGTAAAACAGGGTTGACCTTAAAATGAGGGACAGACCTAAATGAATCACTAATAAATAATAATATTCAGAAATGACTTTGTCAAAGCTGTCACGTTCGCTTAAGGAGGAGGACCAATGCGCAGCGTTGAATGCGTACATATTATTTATTAAACAGATCACCCGATCAAAACAACGAACGAAACGTGAAGTCCTTCGATACACACAAACCAAAAGGAACAAGAAACCACAACACAAAGTGAAAAGACCGATAGTTAAATATGGCTCCCAATCAGAGACAACCAGCCGACACTCGTTGCCTCTGATTGGGAGTCACTCAGGCCAACATAGATATACAAAACATAGACTTACACACCCTGGCTCAACATAACATAGTCCCCAGAGCCAGGGCGTGACAGTACCCCCCCCCCCAAAGGCGCGGACTCCGGCCGCGCCAAACAACCACAACAGGGGAGGGACCGGGTGGGCACTCCGCCTCGGCGGCGGATCCGGCTCCGGACATGACCCAGGCACGGGTTGTGCTGGACTGACGACGCACACCCCTGGCTTGATGCGTGGAGGAGGAACGGGCCGGACCGGGCTGACGAAGCGCACCCCTGACTTGGTGCGGGGAGCAGGAATGAGCCGGACCGGGCTGACGACGCGCACCACTGACCTGGTGCGGGGAGCTTGGATGGGCCGGACTGGGCTGGCGACGCGCACCACAGACTTGGTGCGGAGAGCAGGAACGGGCCGGACAGGGCTGACGAAACGCACCATAGACTTGGTGCGGAGCGCAGGAACAGGCCGGACCGGGCTGGCGACGCGCACCACAGGTTTGGTGCGGGGAGAAGGAACAGGCCGGGCCGGGCTGGCGACGCGCACCACAGACTTGGTGCGGAGAGCAGGAACGAGCCGGACAGGGCTGACGAGACGCACCACAGACTTGGTGCGGGGAGCAGGAACAGGCCGGACCGGGCTGGCGACGCGCACCACAGGTTTGGTGCGGGGAGAAGGAACAGGCCGGGCCGGGCTGGCGACGCGCACCACAGACTCGATGCGGGAAGCAGGAACAGGCCAGACCGTACTGGGGACACACACCACTGGCCCTACGCAGGGATCAGGAACGGGCCGGACCGGACTGGTAACACACCCCAGTACCTCTCGCCGTGCCTCCACACTTTCCCTCTCCTCTGTGACCAGTGGCCCCCTTAACCTGGCGGCCTCCTCTTCACACCCGCTGGACCGCTCCATCGCGGCCTCCTGCTGCCCCGTCGTCCACGTCGTGAGCCCCCCCCTAAAAAATTTCTGGGGTTCTCTCCTCCCCGTGGACCAGGCCTCCCTAGCTCTCGCCAGACTCTCGATCCATTGCTTCATAGACCAGCCTCTCTCCTCTTCACTTAGCGTGGCCCAGCCGAAACTCCTACTCCCCTGATCCCAGGTCCATCCACTCTCCTCTTCCCGCTGCTTGGTCCTGTCTTGGTGGTTTCTTCTGTCACGTTCGCTTAAGGAGGAGGACCAATGCGCAGCGTTGAATGCGTACATATTATTTATTAAACAGATCACCCGATCAAAACAACGAACGAAACGTGAAGTCCTTCGATACACACAAACCAAAAGGAACAAGAAACCACAACACAAAGTGAAAAGACCGATAGTTAAATATGGCTCCCAATCAGAGACAACCAGCCGACACTCGTTGCCTCTGATTGGGAGTCACTCAGGCCAACATAGATATACAAAACATAGACTTACACACCCTGGCTCAACATAACATAGTCCCGCAGAGCCAGGGCGTGACAAAAGCAAGAAAATAACTAGGGCTTTACAGTGATGGTGGAGAAATTTTGGGATTAATTAGGGTTAAAATCTTCCTAGAAGTGACACAGGGTTGAAGGATGGACATGTCAAAATGCTTAATTTTCACACTTTAGCCTTTTTTTCTCTCAGATTTATTTAATTCTCCATGTGGTCTATATTAAAGGGCACTTCAATGAATAAACTCAGCAAAAAAAGAAACTTCCCTTTTTCAGGACCCTGTCTTTCAAAGATAATTTGTAAAAATCCAAATAACTTCACAGATCTTCATTGTAAAGGGTTTAAACACTGTTTCCCATGCTTGTTCAATTAACCATAAACAATTAATGAACATGCACCTGTGGAACGGTCGTTAAGACACTAACAGCTTACAGACGGTAGGCAATTAAGGTCACAGTTATGAAAACTTAGGACACTAAAGTGGCCTTTCTACTGACTCTGAAAAACACCAAAAGAAAGATGCTCTGGGTCCCTGCTCATCTGCGTGAACGTGACTTAGGCATGAGGACTACAGATGTGGCCAGGGCAATAAATTGCAATGTTTGTACTGTGAGACGCCTAAGACAGTGCTACAGGGAGACAGGACGGACAGTGATTGTCCTCGCAGTGGCAGACCATGTGTAACAACACCTGCACAGGATCGGTACATCCGAACATCACACCTGCGGGACAAGTACAGGATGGCAACAACAACTGCCCGAGTTACACCAGGAACGCACAATCCCTCCATCAGTGCTCAGACTGTCCGCAATAGGCTGAGAGAGGCTGGACTGAGGGCTTGTAGGCCTGTTGTAAGGCAGGTCCTCACCGGCAACAACGTCGCCTATGGGCACAAACCCACCGTCGCTGGACCAGACAGGACTGGCAAAAAGTGCTCTTCACTGACGAGTCGCGGTTTTGTCTCACCAGGGGTGATGGTCGGATTCGCGTTTAACGTCTAGGGCGGTGTGTCACAGCATCATCGGACTGAGCTTGTTGTCATTGCAGGCAATCTTAACGCTGTGCGTTACAGGGAAGACATCCTCCTCCCTCATGTGGTACCCTTCCTGCAGGCTCATCCTGACATGACCCTCCAGCATGACAATGCCACCAGCCATACTGCTCGTTCTGTGCGTGATTTCCTGCAAGACAGGAATGTCAGTGTTCTGCCATGGCCAGCGAAGAGCCCGGATCTCAATCCCATTGAGCACGTCTGGGACCTGTTGGATCGGAGGGTGAGGGCTAGGGCTATTCCCCCCAGAAATGTCCGGGAACTTGCAGGTGCCTTGGTGGAAGAGTGGGATAACATCTCACAGCAAGAACTAGCAAATCTGGTGCAGTCCATGAGGAGGAGATGCACTGCAGTACTTAATGCAGCTGGTGGCCACACCAGATACTCACTGTTACTTTTGACCCCCCCCCCCCCCACTCTCAGTTGTTGAATCTTGTTATGTTCATACAAATATGTACACATGTTAAGTTTGCTGAAAATAAATGCAGTTGACAGTGAGAGGATGTTTATTTTTTTGCTGAGTTTATAACAGGCTGTTCATTATTGTGATTCATGAACACAACTAAATATGTCTGGAGTTTCTCCTATCAGTAGTTGAGTGACTAAAGAGGTACTATGTGTTCTCATTCTCATCACAGGTTGGGCTCATGGTAATGGCTGGAGTGGAACAGGTGGAATGGTATCAAATACATCAAAAACATGGTTTCCATGTGTTTGATGCCATTCCATTTGCTTCATCCCAGCTATTATTATGAGCTGTCCTCCCCTGTTATAGTAGTTAGCACTTATAAAAAGATACAGATGTATAAAACAAAGAAATGGCTCCCATAAATATTGAAATACCTGAAAATGAACCATGCACACACATCACTGAGCTGAGAACATAGTGGTTGGAGTGGGAAAAAGATCAGCACACAAGATGGAAGCTTTGGCTCCCTCTAGAGGTTGAGTCTGAGATAGAGCTGCAATGTAATGCAAGTACATACTGTCACTCTGTCAAGATTCAGGTCACTGCAATGCCAAAAACATCCACTACCAGTGGCAAAGTGGTCCTGGGTTCAAGAGAAGGGAAAAGGGTAAACGATGAAAGTGAAAACAAAAAGCAGGAGTGGAGTTCAGTCAGATGAACAGATAGGCGGTATGAACCTTGGTGCACCCATAGAGATAGACAGAGGACTCATCTTTTAATCTGTGCCATTATAGCTTCTGGGCAGGGTGGAGTGCCATTGAGGCAATCTACATTTTGAAGTAGTATATTTGCTTCTTAACGATTTGCTGACTCCAACAGGGTCACCAACAGCCAATGAAGTTGGAAGTCCCACCCAGTTGAATACATTAAAATGGTTGAAGCCCTCAATGGTGTTGCCCATGCAAATACGCCTTTTGGCCACTAGAGGCCTCTATCATTCTCTATGGGTGTACCCCTCTTCCTCAAATGGGTGTTAACCCAGTGGAGTGAGTGGACACAGCCCTTAACCAATGAAAAACAAGAACAAATCTGGATAAGAGCAGTCTGCTAAATGACAAAAATGTAAATGTAAATACCAGCATGAACAATTGCACCGGTTGACATTAAATCTCACACTATAGACTGGATGTGACCCATGGGGCGGCGCACAATTGGCCCAGCGTCTTCCAGGGTAGGGGAGGGAATGGCCGGCAGGGATGTAGCTCAGTTGGTAGAGCATGGCGTTTGCAACGCCAGGGTTGTGGGTTTGATTCCCACGGGGGGCCGAAAAAAAAAATATGTATGCACTCACTAACTGTAAGTCGCTCTGGATAAGAGTGTCTGCTAAATGACTAAAATGTAAAAATGTGTTAGAAATATCCCAATCCATTCCAACATCATCTGTCTCCCAGGTTTTCACACAAAAAAAGAAATAAAAAAAAAGATTGGAGAAGTAGATATGTGGTATGTGTTAATATCAAATATCAAACGTTGTCGAGCAAGCACACGGTTGTGCATAGATACAGGAGGTGAGATAGTGGTTCGTCCTTTGCCTGACCAGGATCATATTCATTAGGGCACAACGATTCAAAACGGTGTGCAACAGAAAACGAAAATGAGTGATTCCAATTGGACTAGTTCAAATAGTACCTCCCCGTTTCGGCAACAACATTTCTGTTTAGTTCCTAGTGAATATGACCAAGGCTATCTCCACAGCATAGGGACACTGGACCTGAGTATGGGTCTTGGGGCCTCCAGCCCGCTCCCTCACCCTCCTCCACTCCCTCTCTCGCTCCCTCTCCCTCTCCCGCTCCCTCTCCCTCACCCGCTCCCTCTCCCTCACCCGCTCCCTCTCCCTCCTCCACTCCCTCTCTCGCTCCCTCTCCCTCTCCCTCTCCCTCCACCACAGGATAGGGGTTTGGTTGGCCCTCCACCCCAGAGATAGAGATTTCGTCTGGCCCGCTCCACTACGCCCCCCTCTCCTCAAAGAACCACTTCTGGTTGGCGTGGTCCGAGCAGGGCCGCAGGGCGGGGGCAGGGCTGCCATTGTCCGTCTTGTCCACAGCCTGGACACACTTCTGGGTCATCATGTGGTAGAGGGTGCCGTCCTATTGGAGAGGAGTTACAGTGGAGAAAAAAAGTATTTAGTCAGCCACCAATTGTGCAAGTTCTCCCACTTAAAAAGATGAGAGAGGCCTGTAATTTTCATCATAGGTACACGTCAACTATGACAGACAAAATGAGAAACAAAAATCCAGAAAATCACATTGTAGGATTTTTTATGAATTTATTTGCAAATTATGGTGGAAAATAAGTATTTGGTCAATAACAAAAGTTTCTCAATACTTTGTTATATACCCTTTGTTGGCAATGACACAGGTCAAACGTTTTCTGTAAGTCTTCACAAGGTTTTCACACACTGTTGCTGGTATTTTGGCCCATTCCTCCATGCAGATCTCCTCTAGAGCAGTGATGTTTTGGGGCTGTCGCTGGGCAACACAGACTTTCAACTCCCTCCAAAGATTTTCTATGGGGTTGAGATCTGGAGACTGGCTAGGCCACTCCAGGACCTTGAAATGCTTTTTACGAAGCCTCTCCTTCGTTGCCCGGGCGGTGTGTTTGGGATCATTGTCATGCTGAAAGACCCAGCCACGTTTCATCTTCAATGCCCTTGCTGATGGAAGGAGGTTTTCACTCAAAATCTCACGATACATGGCCCCATTCATTCTTTCCTTTACACAGATTAGTCGTCCTGGTCCCTTTGCAGAAAAACAGCCCCAAAGCATGATGTTTCCACCCCCATGCTTCACAGTAGGTATGGTGTTCTTTGGATGCAACTCAGCATTCTTTGTCCTCCAAACACGACGAGTTGAGTTTTTTACCAAAAATATATTTTGGTTTCATCTGACATTCTCCCAATCCTCTTCTGGATCATCCAAATGCACTCTAGCAAACTTCAGACGGGCCTGGACATGTACTGGCTTAAGCAGGGGGACACGTCTGGCACTGCAGGATTTGTGTCCCTGGCGGCGTAGTGTGTTACTGATGGTAGGCTTTGTCACTTTGGTCCCAGCTCTCTGCAGGTCATTCACTAGGTCCCCCCGTGTGGTTCTGGGATTTTTGCTCACCATTCTTGTGATCATTTTGACCCCACGGGGTGAGATCTTGCGTGGAGCCCCAGATCGAGGGAGATTATCAGTGGTCTTGTATGTCTTCCATTTCCTAATAATTGCTCCCACAGTTGATTTCTTCAAACCAAGCTGCTTACCTAATGCAGATTCAGTCTTCCCAGCCTGGTGCAGGTCTACAATTGTGTTTCTGGTGTCCTTTGACAGCTGTTTGGTCTTGGCCGTAGTGGAGTTTGGAGAGTGACTGTTTGAGGTTGTGGACAGGTGTCTTTTATACTGATAACAAGTTCAAACAGGTGCCATTAATACAGGTAACGAGTGGAGGACAGAGGAGCCTCTTAAAGAAGAAGTTACATGTCTGTGAGAGCCAGAAATCTTGCTTGTTTGTAGGTGACCAAATACTTATTTTCCACCATCATTTGCAAATAAATTCATTAAAAATCCTATAATGTGATTTTCTGTATTTTTTTCCCTCAATGTGTCTGTCATAGTTGACGTGTACCTATGATGAAAATTACAGGCCTCTCTCATCTTTTTAAGTGGGAGAACTTGCACAATTGGTGACTGACTAAATACTTTTTTTCCCCACTGTATTTATAACATGTCACCTTTATTCATACAGGTTATTGAAATACAGTCTATTTTACAAGACAGACCAAATGGCCTTGTCTTAAGGCCTATTCCCTAATACTGGTCTTCATCCTTGTTTTCTAACCAGCTAATATCTACCTGAGCTACCAAGTGTGTGGACTCAATGACAAATGAGCACCAATGGGATATTAACACCAGTAGGACTGGATACAGCCCTGGAGGAGTGGAGTTGTGAACCACTGGTGTGTAGACTACATCCAGGAACACAAGAGACTACATACATACATTACAGAGATGGGAGCAGTGCAGTGTGAAAACAGCAATATCATAGTAAATCCTCATGTTTGAATATGGAGAGGGCCAAGAAATTGTCTCCCGCCTTCTGTCGCTCCCTCCCTCCCTCCCTCCCTCCCTCCATCCCTCCATCCCTCCCTCTCTCCATTTACATTTAGATATAATGCTTTATCTCCAGCTACAGTGGGGAGAACAAGTATTTGATATACTGCCGATTTTGCAGGTTTTCCTACTTACAAAGCATGTAGAGGTCTGTAATTTCTATCATAGGTACACTTCAACTGTGAGAGACGGAATCTAAAATCACATTGTATGATTTTTAAGTAATTAATTTGCATTTTATTGCATGACATAAGTATTTGATACATCAGAAAAGCAGAACTTAATATTTGGTACAGAAACCTTTGTTTGCAATTACAGAGATCATACGTTTCCTGTAGGTCTTGACCAGGTTTGCACACACTGCAGCAGGGATTTTGGCCCACTCCTCCATACAGACCTTCTCCAGATCCTTCAGGTTTCGGGGCTGTCGCTGGGCAATATGGACTTTCAGCTCCCTCCAAAGATTTTATATTGGGTTCAGGTCTGGAGACTGGCTAGGCCACTCCAGGACCTTGAGATGCTTCTTACGGAGCCACTCCTTAGTTGCCCTGGCTGTGTGTTTCGGGTCGTTGTCATGCTTGAATGCCCAGCCACGCCCCATCTTCAATGCTCTTACTGAGGGAAGGAGGTTGTTGGCCAAGATCTCGCGATACATGGCCCCATCCATCCTCCCCTCAATGCGGTGCAGTCGTCCTGTCCCCTTTGCAGAAAAGCATCCCCAAAGAATGATGTTTTCACCTCCATGCTTCACGGTTGGAGAGGTTGGAGTCTGTTTGATTGAGTGTGTGGACAGGTGTCTTTTATACAGGTAACGAGTTCAAACAGGTGCAGTTAATACAGGTAATGAGTGGAGAACAGGAGGGCTTCTTAAAGAAAAACTAACAGGTCTGTGAGAGCCAGAATTCTTACTGGTTGGTAGGTGATCAAATACTTATGTCATGCAATAAAATGCAAATTAATTACTTCAAAATCATACAATGTGATTTTCTGGATTTTTGATAGATTTAGATTCCGTCTCTCACAGTTGAAGTGTACCTATGATAAAAAGTACAGACCTCTACATGCTTTGTAAGTAGGAAAACCTGCAAAATCAGCATTGTATCAAATACTTGTTCTCCACACTGTATTAAGATGTCTGGCTACACTGAACACATATACTAAACAACCAAGTATGCACACCCAGACAATAGGCTACCTCAATGTTCTATGATCCACTATGTACAAACCGCTACATCAAATCTATCCAGAATACATTATTTGATTATGTAACCTCTACTCCATAGAAAGACTAGGGGGATTTTATTTACTAAAGTGATACCCGGATGATTCTGTATCTGAGGGTAGTTGGAGTCTGTGGAGGCTAAGGCACTGGTGGGTGTCGGAGAGCGAGCGAGAGAGAGCGAGCGAGCGAGCGAGCGAGAGAGAGAGAGAAGAGAGAGCGAAGAGAGAGAGAGAGAGATAGAGATAGAGAGAGAGAGAGAGAGAAGAGGAGAGAGAGAGAGAGTAGGAGGAGAGGGGCATTTATGAGATGCCTTAGAGTAGCGCACTGAAAGAAAAAGGGGAAGAGGCAAGAGGGCAGATTCCTTTATCCGAAAAGGGGGGGGCCCCAAAAAGGAAGAGAAGACCGAGGTGAAATTTCCCCCATTTATAATAAGAGGATGGTTTTGGGGTTTTACGATTTTCAAGGACGGGCGAGAAAAGGGGAGGGAGGGGGGAAAAAGAAAAGGTTTTCCGTTTTTCCCAAAAAATTTTTTTCATTCCGCCCGTTTTTTTAAAACCCAAGGACAGAACCCCGGGTTTTTTTACCCCTCCCTTTTCCCCCCCCTTCTTAGTTCCCTTTCCCCCCCCCTCCCCCCCCCTTCCCCGGGGGCCCCTTTTGGGGTAAAAAAAGGGGGGAAAAAAAGGGGTTAACATTTTAAAATTTTCCCCTTTTTGAACCCCTTCCCCCCCCCCAACGAAAAACCCGTCTTTTTAACCCCCCCATTTAAACCCTATTTTTCAGGGGAAACCCCTTTTCCCCCCCAAAGTTATTTTCCCCTTTTTGGCAAAACCCCTCCCCAACCCTTTTCCCCAAAGTGGGGGTCCTTTTTTTGCCCCCCCCATTTTAAAAAATTTTTTAACCCTCCCCCCCACCCCCCCTCCCGGGTGAAAAAAAAACCTTCCCCCTTGGAAGGGGAAAGATAGAGAAAGAGAATGGTCTGAGGAAGCATGCAGAGGTGAACTTTAGAGAGAGAGAAGGAGAGAGAGAGGAGAGGAGAAGATAGAAGCAGAGAGAGGAGAGAGAGAGAGAGATGCGAAGAGTAGAGTGCAGTTACTGCCGATCTCATCGTTTCTATCGAGAGAGGAGCGATAGAGAGGAGAGAGAGGAAGAGAAGCGGCTTAATTCAGTGTTTGTCAACAGTTTCCTTTGAGCATGCTCTCTGAAGGCCTCGAGGCCGCTCCGACAAGAAACGCACGAACAACAGAACACGAGTGCTTAGTGAAAACCAACATACCAACATTTAGCTACACCCGTACTACTGTATTGGTCCATGTGTTCCTCTGGGTTTTCCACTCCCCACTCCACTCTTTTCTCTATCCCCTTCAGAGGAGGCTGGTGGGCGGAGATATAGGAGGACTGGTTCATTGTAATGGCTGAATGGAACGGTATCAAACACATCAAACATATGGTTTCCATGTGTTTGATACCCTTACATTGATTCCATTACAATGAGCCTGTCCTCTTATTTCTCAGCCCACAAGCCACCACTGACCCTCTTTCTAAGCCACCCTTTTTCTCTCTGACCCACAGTCTCACTCTACCCCCCCCCCTTCTTTCTGTTAACAAAACCTCCCCCATCCCCAACCCTCCCCCCAAACCCCTTGCTCTGCTCCCTGTTTTCCTGCCCCACTTCCTTGTCGTTAAAGTTAGCATTTCCCTCCAAATATTCCCATTCTTCCCCTCCCTGCCTCCATCCCATCCTCCCCATCCACCTCATTCACTTGAAGACAAGCTCTTGGCTGCATCCCAAATTATACCCTATTGTCTATACAGTGTAGAAAATAGGGTGCCATTTTGACCAGGGCCCTTGTATATAGGGAATAGGTTACCATTTAGGATGCATAGTCCCCTTCCCCCTCACCTCTCTGAGGACAAACTTCTGGTCCTGTGGTACAGGCTGCCGGGGTTTCTTGCACAGGTGCACGGTCAGGTAGGTGGAGACGGCGTCCCCCGCAGCGCACCCTGCTGGCTCCCTGGTGTTATAACGGATCTCACTTCTCTCACTGGAGTACTCAAAGAACTGCAGCAGGGTGAGACCAGCAGGGTGAGACCAGCAGAGTGTGGGCTGTGTGGTGTGTGTGAGTTTTTGTTGTGTCCATTTCAGTTGCCAGTACAAAGTAGGGCACCACAGTGGATACATAGGGGTGCTGAAATAACAATGCCAACTTTTAAGGGGCTCAATGTAGACCACTGCAGACCACACCGGATATAACTTTTGTACAATACTCTCTTTTTATCCTTTGGGTGCAAAAAATGATGTTTATTAGTTTAACACACCAAACAAAGACTATTTCAGTTTAAGGTTGAGCGCGATGGTACCTGCTTTCTTCACTATCCTTTCGGTCCAAATTCACAAAGCAATTTTATACTTGTCAATGTAAATTATAATCTGAAGCCATGAGACAAACACTCTGCCAGGCCCAGTCAAAAGCCAAATAACCACTAGGCCATGACAAGGCTATTGGGGGGGCATTCTAAGCACAGTTCAAGGTAACATCAATGCTAAGAACACAAGACAACAATCACTGCAGTCCTGAAAACAAAATAAGATAGCATACAAGTGTATGGACCACTACTAAATGAAGGACATAGAGAGTAAAGGTGCAGTTATATCTACCTGGTTTTAAATGAAGGACATAGAGAGTAAAGGTGCAGTTATATCTACCTGGTTTTAAATGAAGGACATAGAGAGTAAAGGTGGAGTTTTATCTACCTGGTTTTAAATGAAGGACATAGAGAGTAAAGGTGCAGTTATATCTACCTGGTTTTAAATGAAGGACATAGAGAGTAAAGATGGGAGTTATAGCTACCGGGTTTTAAATGAAGGACATAGAGAGTAAAGGTGGAGTTATATCTACCTGGTTTTAAATGAAGGACATAGAGAGTAAAGGTGCAGTTATATCTACCTGGTTTTAAATGAAGGACATAGAGAGTAAAGGTGCAGTTATATCTACCTGGTTTTAAATGAAGGACATAGAGAGTAAAGGTGGAGTTATATCTACCTGGTTTTAAATGAAGGACATAGAGAGTAAAGGTGCAGTTATATCTACCTGGTTTTAAATGAAGGACATAGAGAGTAAAGGTGGAGTTATATCTACCTGGTTTTAAATGAAGGACATAGAGAGTAAAGGTGGAGTTATAGCTACCTGGTTTTACATTTACATTTACGTAATTTAGCAGATGCTCTTATCCAGAGCGACTTACAAATTGGTGCATTCACCTTATGATAGCCAGTGGGATAACCACTTTACAATATTTACAATATATATATTTTTTTTTAATATTTTCAAATGTTTTGTTTTTTGTTTCTAGAGTATATTTTTAATTTTCATTTGTTTTATATATATATATATATATATATATATATATATATATATATATATATATCACAGCTCCGTAGGCAAGCACCATGGTCTTGTAGCAGATGCGAGCTTCAACTGGAAGCCAGTGGAGTGTGCGGAGGAGCGGGGTGACGTGAGAGAACTTGGGAAGGTTGAACACCAGACAGGCTGCAGCGTTCTGGATGAGTTGTAGGGTTTTAAATGAAGTACATAGAGAGTAAAGATGGAGTTATATCTACCTGGTTTTAAATGAAGGACATAGAGAGTAAAGGTGGAGTTATAGCTACCTGGTTTTGTCCCATGCCATGACAGGTGTAGAGGATGATCCGGTGGCCCACCAGGTTATTGTCGTCAGGAGGGTTGTAGTCAAAGCAGTAGCTAGACATGCCTCTGTTCTTCAGCTAGAGGGAAACAACATGCAGATTCCATTGTTATAGTACAGCTATGAGTGTGGGGAGTCAAGAGAAAGATCATTCACATTGTCTATGATAACTGACATTTGAGTGCACTATCCCTTTAATAAAAATAGGTTAATGTGGTGCCAATGTGAGATTCATTAGGGCACACCGTAGTATAGGAAAACGATAACAAGCTTTTCTTATTGGACAAGTTCAGGTAGTTTCAGTCCGTTTCAGTCTGCATAATGAATGCATCCCTGGAGTCAAAATGGCAGCATTCTCCTCACCATTCCAAACATCCCAGGCCTGTCCTCAGGGACGTGGATATCAGGATAGATGTTCTCCAGGTACCACTTGAAGTCCTTACATCTTAACTGGGTCCTGAGCTTCCTCCTGTCTGTCACGTCCCCAAAGGCCTCCTGAAAACAACAACGGCGCAAGAAACTTTAGTTCCACATTTCTTTCCAATCTGTGGACTAGAGTCTTCTATGAGCATAGACAGGACTAGCCTGGGTACCAGTCTGTTTGAGTTATCATTCCACTCCTTGCCACTCCTTGCCATGCTAAACTTGACACAGAGTACAAGGAGTAGAATGTTAGCAAAACAGGTTCTGAATTTCAGGCTAAGACAGAACTTATTCTTTACCTGAAATGTAGACATCTTATTTAGAAGGATTGTGCATCATAAAAGGTTATTTAGTTTGAGCCAATGCCGATATGAGCTCAGAAATAAATGTGAAACCGACTTCCTGTCTGTTTGAGTCTCTGGGTATATTCTGTGAAATGACAGACAACAGCACCATCTATGGTTTTTCAACATTTTTAGATCTCTCTCTCACAAACAAGACTTTTGCATCACACTCCTCTTCTGTTGCACACAACCCCAAATCACATATAAACACTTCCCACTGGTGGTGCACCACTGCCTCCTGGTCACTATTAAAGGGATAGATCACTCAAAACATGCATTATCGTTACAGTGTGTGTGCTGCACTGCTCTGTGTCTTGAAAACTTGACTGCTGACATGCAACATTTTTGGGGATTGGACTAATGAACAAAAAACTAAAACGTAGTTTTTGAGTGATTTATCCCTTTAACACAAATAAACTCCACAATCCACAGCACCATCTGCAGCATTATAATATCATCATCAGCATTTCTTTATTTCTGTGTGGTGGTTTGCTATGTTTCCTGGGCTTCTGAATTATTCTCCCTGAATCCCTACCGGTCCAGAGGGGTTGTTAGGTGTGAGCTACGGTCCACAGAGGAGAGTTGGAAACAGGAACATCTGTTTGGAGACAAGCCCCTGTTGGAGGGGGGTGAGCAATGCCACAGGATGATGAATGGGAGCGGCAGGCCTGAACACAGCTCTAATTGGTTGCTCATCAATTTATTTAGACTCAAGAGAAGGAAGCGATCAGTCAAGGGGAGACGGGGGAATTAGCAGGAGGGAATAAGCAGGAAATCTGGGAACGCTTCAACCTGGATTTCTGGAAAACCAAGGCATTTTGGGAAAGTTGCTGGAATTTTGCAACCCTACTCACTTCTTTTAGTAAGTAGTGAGAGGCAGGTTTCAACTGGTGAGAATTAAAAGTTGAACAGGAAATAACAAGTCCCTACTGAGGGATATTAGTCCAACCATTAGAAAACAACATCCTATTGCTTGACAGGAGCTGTATCAACTGTCACTGTCACTGTATACTTGAGAGCGATTTTATCTCATATTGTGTTCTACTGAAAAGGGCAGACTGGCACATTCCCCTTCATCTGAATGCCAGGCAGAGAGCTCAGCTCTAAATAGAAGGTGTTGTAATATATTTGACTTATGTCAGTGCACAAGTAAACATCTAGACAAACATCAGGATGCAGCTGATGCCTGCAACAAACTAGAGCAGAGTAGGGAGATAAGAATATGAGACAGAGAGAAAGAAAGAAAGAAATAAGAGAAATAAATAAATAAAGAAATAAATAAATAAAGAAATAAAGTAATGAAAAGTAAATAACAGAAATAAATAAATAAATACTTCATATATACCCGACAAAAAGCTTAGATATACCAGACATAGAGTCTAGAGAAAGAGAAGGATCTAGATAGAAGATATATAGAAATATATAGAGATAATATAGTAGTAGCTCTCTCTCTCTCTCTCTCGTCTCTCTCCTCTCTTCTCTCCTCTCTCTCTCGCTCTCCCCTCTCTCCCTCGCTCTCTACGCTCTCTCCCCTCTCTCTCCCCCTCTCTCTCTCTCTCTCCGCGCCTCTATTCCTCTCTCTTCGCTTCTCTCTCTCTCGTCTCGCTCTCTCCTCTCTCTCTCTCGCTCTCTCGCCCCTCCCCCCTCTCCCCTCTCTCGTCTCTTCTCACTCTCTTCTCTCTCTCCCTCCCTCCTCCCCCATCTCCCCGCTGGCTCTCTCTCGCTCTCTCCTGCTCTCGTCGCTCATCTCTCTCTCTCTCTCTCCCTCCCCTCTCTCTCTTCATCTCTCTCTTCTCCTCTCTCTCTCTCATCTCCTCTCTCTCTCTCTTCTCACTCTCTCTCTTCTCTCTATCTCTCTCTCTCTCTCTCTCCTCTCTCTCTCTCTCACTTCTCATCTCTCCTCCCGTCCCTCTCTCTCTCTCTCTCTCACTCTCTCTCTCTCTCCTCCTCTCTCTTCGCTTCTCTCTTCGTCTTCTCCCTCCCCCCTTCTCTCTCTCTCCCCTCTTTCTCTCTCTTCCTCTCTACCAGACTCTCTCTCCCGCTCCCCTCTCTCTCTCTGTCTCCCTCGCTCTCTACGCCTCTCTCTACTCGCTCTATATACATCTCTTATCCCATCATCTACCTCTCTCTCCTATCTCCCTATCATAGCCCTCTCCTCCTCTCTCGCCTCCTCTCTCTAACTTCTCTCCTCTCTTTTCCTCTCTCTCTCGCCCAGGCTCTCTCTCTTCTCTCTCTCTCCCCGTCTCTCCCGACATCTCTCTCCCTCTCCGCTCTCTCTCTCTCTCTACCCCCTTTCACGGCCTCTCTCCCCCCCCGCCCCCCTCTCGTCTGCCCACTATCATGCTCCCGTCTTCATCTCTCCATCATCTCTGTACGGAGGTGTCATCATCTCAGTCTGCTCCTCTGCCCATACTCCTATCTCTATGAAGATAGATATAGAAAGTAACAGAGAGAGAGATAGAGAGACAGAGAGATGTTGCGGCAGAGGAAGAGAAAGACAAAGCGGTAGTGGGTCAGAAAAAGACAGAGGAAACGAGAGACAGAGAGATAGTGAGTGTGAGAGAGAGAATGAGTGTTTGTGGAGCAGATAGTGTTCTCCCTGGCACTCCCCACTTGGCAGTTGGCACCTCACCTCCTCTCAGAGAGATGAGTGCCATCTGATCTATGTTTAGTTTAGAGGGCCTTCTCCCTTTAACAACACACACTGGCAACCTGCTACCCCGGCAGGCCTCGGTTCAAATACTATTTGAAATCTTTTAAACACTTTTAGCTTTTGCTTTAGCCTCCTTCAAGTGCCAGAAGGGCGCCTTTGCACTTTTGCAACTATTTTATTGGTTTCATTGCGACAGCTCAATCAAGCCCAGCTGAGGTATATGAAAACATTTTATTTGAACCAAGGTCAGTTGGCAACCTGGCACTTGGGTTAGCGCGGGAGGGAGCGTCTCTGACTCACTGAGCTGTGCATCTCAATGTAATCTCACACCGGACGGAGTGTCACCTTGGGTGTCCCCTACCTCCTTATGCATCACAAGTGTCACTCAATCAGGGGAGCATTAACAGAGCAGCACGCGGGGAGCGGTGTGTGTGTCCTCAGAGGTGAAAAGATGTGATTAATCAATCAATCAGGAACTATTTTCAGTGTAGGATGTCTGCTACAGATAGTAACACCATAGGCATAGGCAAAATTGTGCTTCTCCGGGACTTGCCTCCAAACATTTGTCCAAAGATATTCTGATAGGCCTCTAGTCTACAGTAAGGGAAAGGCATGAGTGCATTTGATCAGTACTTTGAAAGCTGTGCATGCATACAAAATATTACCGCCTACGCTACAGCTCCTAACCAACAATCACAGCACCATAAACTTTAAAACTCTGCAGCCACACATTTTGCTAGCTTTCGCTAGTCCCTGTTCAGTGCTGGCCTACCAGGCGTGCGCGGGGGTTCGCTAGTCCCTGTTCAGTGCTGGCCTACCAGGCGTGCATGGGGGTTCGCTAGTCCCTGTTCAGTGCTGGCCTACCAGGCGTGCGTGGGGGTTCGCTAGTCCCTGTTCAGTGCTGGCCTACCAGGCGTGCGTGGGGGTTCGCTAGTCCCTGTTCAGTGCTGGCCTACCAGGCATGCGTGGGGGTTCACTAGTCCCTGTTCAGTGCTTGCCTACCAGGCGTGCGTGGGGGTTACGGTGGTAGTACAACTCCTTGTACTCGTCCATCCAGACCTCGGCAGCACGCACGCTGTTGGCCAGGGCCTTGCCCCGCGAGTAGGGGGCCTTCTTGGGGAAGACGTGGCCCACGTGGGAGCAGGGGTGGATCTCCAGGCTGCCCCCGCACTGCCAGATCTAAATAACAACAACAGCAGGAGCAACACGAGAACATTATTAGCTACACACCATGATTAAATCAGGCAGCACAAACAGCTTTGTGTGTCTTTTTAAAATGGGAGGGAGTTATGTTGTTGTATGGCGGTTTTGTTTTGTATCCCACAGGAAGTAACCTAATCAAGAAAAACATGAGCTCTGTGCTGGTTTAAATTCGTCAAAATGTGCAACTTTATTGACTGCGAGAACTTTTGGTCCCGAATTCTTTAACGTGATTTATATTAGTCAATATTAGGAAGGTGTTCTTAATGTTTTCCACACTCGGTGTTTGGTGAATCACCACACATATTCCACAACAATATGGTGACCATCCATTACAGGATTCCAGTGAGTTTTTAACTTATTACAGCAATGTCAGAAAAAAGCAATGGACAAACAGCATAGAGTCCAGCAAGCCCACACTTATCACACAAAGTACACACACACTCGCTCACACACACACTCGCTCACACACACTCTCGCTAACACACACTCACACACACTCACCCAAAACACACACTCATATTCTCTCTCTCTCTCCTCTCTCTCTCTCTCTCTCTCTCTCTCTCTCCTCTCTCCTCCTCTCTCTCTCATCTCTCTCTTCTCTCTCTCTCTCTCTCTCTCTCTCTCTCTCTCTCTCTCTCTCTCTCACACACACACACACTCTCACCCTAAATGAGAACTCTAGGTTCTCTCCTCCCCACACCTCCATGCCTGTGTCATATGTGCCCAGGTAATGGAAATAGTTCTTACTGACAGCAAACAGCCCACCAGCCATAGTAGGAGACCTGGGACCAAAACACACAGTTTACAGAGCAAATCTTGAAATTATCTGAAATTATACAGCCTATGGTGTGCATAACAATTGCTGATCTGTAATAACATGCATGTCAAATTGTTAAAAGTACATCTCAATAGTTAATTTAGGATTTGACTATTTTCCTCTCTGATACACTGGGGATTTGAGGGTACCACAGACCTGATGACATCGATGGGGGAGTGCCTGTGTTTCTGCTCGTACTCTGGCACCGGGTGCCAGGTGAAGACCAGCCGCCAATCAAATCCTCCGATATGAGGTTCCCTAGGGTTGCCTAGATACTGAAAAGTGTTCCAGTCGATGACATCGATGACTGGACAGACCACAGCTGACGGTTTCTCCTTTATCCTGGGAGGAAAAGGAGAAGAAAGAAGAAGTAAGCACGGGGGGGTTGCAGAATAACAGGGTTAAAACAGGGTTAAAACAGGGTTGGGCAGCAGGTAGCAGGGGGTTGCAGTATAACAGGGTTATAACATGGGAGAGGAGAGAGAGATGCCTCTCAACAGTCCCAGGTGGCTCAGTTGGTAGAGCATGGCACTTGCAATGCCAGGGTTGTGGGTTCAATTCCAACGGGGGACCAGTACAAAAAAGTATGAAAATGTACGCACTCACTACTGTAAGTCACTCTGGATAAGAACGTGTGCAAAATGACTCAAATGTAAAATGTCAATGTAAACAGGCACCATATGGAACAGGCCTTTGGAGGCTTGGGATTGGTGAGAAAGAGGATGGGTGGGGAAAATAGTTCAAGTAGCTATACATATCCACATTTAGCCACAGCAGCATGATACGTACAACTGCAAGGTAGAACGAATGGAGGGAGGCACTACAAGTCCCACAATTAGACTGAAGAAGAGCAGTCCTCACCTGGCCTGCTACGTGGTTTCTCACCTGTGGAGCAGGGGCTCCAGCCAGCCCTCGTGGCATTCACAGTGGCAGTCCAGGAAGGTCAGCACGTCACCTGTGGCGATGGAGGCCCCAAGGAGCCTGGCCCGCACCAGGCCCTCCCTCTTCCTGGCCCGGATCAGACGCACCTTCTTCAAGCTGGAGATGTAGTTTTCCAACGGCTCCTTCAAATGAGCTGCGGGGGAACAAAAAGGGCTGTTGTTTCCATTTCATGATTCATGAAAAGCAAGATTGTACATTTCCTCAACTGACAAAGGGATGTGTGTAATGTGTAGGTACAGTGTGTGTTATGTTACCACAGGGTGGTGCTGCTAATAGGTGTGCCTGTGCTTTGTAGTTAATTGATCATTAATGAATTAATACAACCAGCTACTTGACAGAAATCATATCAAATATTTCCAATGACTCATATGACCAATACTACGTCATGAGAGGGGCAAATAGTGACCTATGAGCAAGGCTGCATGTTTACCAACTGGCATTCAAAATTATTGAAATGTATTCAATGGGATAGTTCACCTAAAACTTTATTTTAGTATTTTGTTCATTAGTCCACAAAAAACGTTGCATGTCAGAAGTCAAGTTTTCAAGAAAGAGCACTTTCAGTACAGGTCAAAACCTGTGCACTATACCTTTAACCTTAACATATTGAATGTCATATTCATCAAATATTGTCTCTCATTTGCTTTGGCAGGCAGAATGGCATATCATGTCTACTCTAGCCAAACCTGTCTGCCCATTAGGGTCTCAGAGTAGGAGTGCTGATCTAGGATGTTTTGGCATTTAAATCACAATTAACACAAATTGCATGGATATGGGGGACCTGATCCTAGATCAGCACATGCATGCCCTGTATGTCTATGATTGTACCTCTGTCACTATAGTCGTCCACCAGCACCACCTCTCGTAGCAGTAAGTTAGGTGATGTCTCCAGGACACTGTGGACAGTGCGTAGCAGCGTGGACCACGCCTCGTTGTAGAAGGCGATCACCACTGAGGTAGATGGCAATGACCTGTAGTCATACTTCAGGTCCTTACAACTGGAGAAGAGAGAAACAGATCACTTGTTATAGATCTGTAGCCTGATCCCAGACCAGCTTGTGCCATCATGCCACTCATTGGCACTCATTGGCATTGGCATGACAAGGAGTGGAATTATAGCACAAACAGGGCTGGTACCCAGGCTAATAGATCTGGGCCAGTTTTCAAAAAGTGTTTAAGGCTGCGTTTAGACAGGCAACTCAATTCTGATCTTTTCACATCAGATCTTTTTCAGAGCTGATCTGATTGGTCAAAAGACCAATTAGTGAAAAAAACCATCAGAACTGGGCTGCCTGTTTAAACACAGCCTAAGAGTAAGAGTGCTGATCTAGGATCAGTGTTACCATTTAGCTCTTAATGAATACAATTATATACTCTGAGACACTTTATAAATACATAGGCCCAGGTCCTTACAACTGGAGAAGAAAAAAGAAAATCAGTTATTTGTTGTTGGTTACTGTTGTTGGTTACCATTGTGCTTGGATGTCTGAGATATGGCCGCAGGACTTTATTGTTTGCACATGGCTAAAATGGCACTGAGTCCTTTGAGACATAATTTCCTGCCCTGTAGGAAACTCAAAAGGAACAGCTGTACGAGCTTTGTTAGTGACTTTATCCAACATTACAAAATAAAGCATTATCTTGCCCGATTTTGGCATTTAGAACTAGGCAAAGGGGCATACAATCATCTTGAGCTGTTTCAAAGGGGCATACAATCATCTTGAGCTGTTTCAAAGGGGGTATAAAATCATCTTGAGCTGTTTCAAAGGGGCATAAAATCATCTTGAGCTGTTTCAAAGGGGCATAAAATCAACAAATCATCTTGAGCTGAGTAGTGAAGGGTTAGCCACTATGGGTTAATGGAGACCTGACGGCATAGGTGGGGGTTCCATCGATGTCCAGGGGAGGCGGAGGGATGTGTGCGCCCAGGTCAACAGCCGATCCCTTACCTCTGTGGGAACATAGGTGTGCTCCGGAGAGCAGGTAGCAGGCGCGGGTTCCCTCTCCAGGGCCTGGCGGATGTCCAAGTCTACGTCCCAAAGCACAGGGGCAATGACTCGGGAGGGGAGAATGATGAGCGCACTCAGGACAGGAACCTCTCCTGAATCGTGTAGACGGGACAGGGCATCGGCTTTGATGTTTTTTTACCTGGGCGATATGACAGGGTGAAGTTGAATCTAGTGAAAAAAAGGGCCCACCTTGCTTGGCGCGGGTTCAGCCGCCTCGCTGTCTGTATGTACTCCAGGTTCCGATGGTCGGTGAGGATGAGAAATGGGTCCTTCGCACCCTCCAGCCAGTGTCTCCACTCCACTAATGCCCAAACTTCACCGCCAGGAGCTACCGGTCGCCAACGTCATAGTTCCTCTCTGCAGGAGACAGTTTCTTTGAGTAGTATGCACATGAATACAATTTATGTGGGTTACTTTGCCATTGGGACAGGACGGCCCCCATGCCCACTTCTGAAGCGTCCACCTCCACCACAAAGGGCAGCGTAGGATCTGGGTGTTTCAGCAACGGGGTGGAGGTGAAACGCCCCTTCAGTAGGCGGAAGGCCTCATCGGCTGCAGGACTCCACACCAATTTATGGGGACCACCCTTGAGAAGAGAGGTGAGAGGAGAGGCGATGGAGCTGAAGTATTTAATGAAGCGGCGGTAGAAGTTGGCAAACTCCAAAAAACGTTGTAGCCCCTTTATGGTGGTTGGGACTGCCTCAGCCTTCCTTTCATTCATCTTCATTCCCTGCGGGCTGACCTGGTATCCCAAGAAGGAGACAGCGACCTGATGGAACTGGCACTTCTCTGCTTTTACATACAGGCGGTTCTCCAAGAGTCCCAGGACTACTCGGATGTGGGTGATGTGATCCTCCAAGGTGGCCGAGTAGTCCAGGATGTCGTCGATATACACGACCACCTGGTGCCCGAGCATGTCCCGGAACACCTCGTTCACACATTTCTGGAACGCCAACGCCGCATTGGCTAAATCATAAGGCATCACCAAGTACTCGTAGTCTCCAGACATCATGCTGAAGCCGGTTTTCCATTCATCCCCCTCTCGGATGCGGATCAGATTGTAGGCACTCCACAGGTCCAGCGGAGCTGTTTGATTGCGGCCGGCACCAACGGGAGAGAGTAGCGGTACTTGGTGGTGATGGAATTGAGGCCTCTGTAATCGATGCACGGACGTAGGCCTCCGTCCTTCTTGGCAACGAAGAAGAAGCCTGCCGACACCGGGGAGGTGGATGGGCGGATGAAACCCTGTTGGAGAGCCCCCTGGATGTACTCCTCCATGGCCTCGGTTTCAGCCACAGGCAGAGGGTAGATGCGGCTGCGCGGAGGCGCAGAGCCTGCAAGCAGGTCAATTGCGCAGTCCCAGGGGCGATGAGGAGGGAGACAGGTGGCACAGGTCTTGGTCCTGGTCGGGCTGGAGGGTACCCACAGGACTCTTAACCGACATGGAACCACAGGGTAAGGGAAAGCAGGACTTCCGGCATCCGGGTGCCCAGGCAGTGATTTCCATCCTCGACCAGGAGATGGTGGGGTCATGACGTTGGAGCCACGGGAGGCCGAAGATGACATTGTGCATGGGTGCGGTGATGATGAGGAAGGGAAGGCTTTCTTGGTACATGTGTCCCACGGTGAGGGTGAGTGGTGCTGTGATGTGCGTGATAGTGCCGGATCCTAATGATCGATTATCCAGGGCTTGGACCGGAAAAGGAGATGAAAGCGGGTACGAGGTGATGTTCATGGAGGGGGCGAGGGCCTGGTCTGATGGGCGAAATAGAGGGAGCACTGGAGTAGGAAGTCACGGCATTTGGATGGTCCTGTGGTACTTGTCCGGGAGGGACAGTCGCGCATCGTCTCCCTGGGCGGACTGCTGAGTAGGCTGTGGGACTGGCTCGCTGCGACGACTCGTGGTAAGGAGCCCTCCGCTAGTTGGAGGTGAAACCTCTTGGGTGGTGTTGAGGTGGTGGAGGACGCGGAGGACCTCATCCATAGCCGTACCCAGTTGCGCCAGCTGATCATGGTGTTGGAGGAGTAGGCGTCCCTGTTAGCCGACTGTCTGGGAGATGTCTTTCTCTTCTGCTGCTTCCATATCGTGAGGCAGTATTCTGTAATGGATACGCTAGGAGTCAGGAAGCAGGTGCAGAAGGTGAGTTTAATAATAAAATAAGGCAGATAAACAAAACAGGAGAAGGGTACTTGCCAGGGCCGGTGGTTTGTAGACCGAAGACATTGAGCGCTGGAGCAGGGGAGCGGGAGTAGGCGTGACAAAATCAAGTTAGAGTAGCTAGCTTGTCTTACCATCTTAGCTGGCATGGCTGCTGGCAAGGTTGGTAGACTTTAGAAAGCAAGCAATAACTAAATGGACTGGATAACACTCACATTCCTTTAAATATTTTACCCAGATTTTATCAGAGATGCAGAGAAGGATATTTTGTTTCTTTAAAAAAAAGAACCACCAGTCAGAAGGATACAGACAGCAGTAAAATCAAGAGGTACTTTCTGAATGCACTGTATATCCTGCAGAGATGGACCCAGTAGCAGTGCGTGGGTAAAATCACTGGGGAAGCCAAGCCAGAAAAAAAAGGCCATTTTACAACCTGTGTTGTGATAATTGCGTTGTTTGCTCTATAACTTGTTAGTTCATATGCCTTGCGGCCGTGATATATAGGCCTAAGGCCGTCACAATAAGAAGATACAGTGGCAGAATAAATTCAACCACACCTTTGTTTAATCACAAAACCGGAGAGCTACCTCTGTCCGGTGTAGTCCACAAAGCATAATGAATGTAACAAACAGTTACATTTCCAACATTTTCGGACTACTAAACAACTATTGATTTAGAACCATGGAGAGTTACTGCAAGTCGCAAAGAAAACAGGAGCTGCCTCCACTATTCCAGCACCATTTCAACGTCAACATTTCAACATCATAAAATCACCTATGCTTAGTCGAATACAGTGACAACTAAAATATATAAAAAAACTATTTAGTTCAATCAACCTAAGCTAAATATGATTTGGCTGTCCATGGTTCTGATTTGAGTGTGTGTGTGTGTGTGTGTGTGTGTGTGTGTGTGTGTGTGTGTGTGTGTGTGTGTGTGTGTGTGTGTGTGTGTGTGTGTGTGTGTGTGTGTGTGTGTGTGTGCATGCGTGCGTGCAAGTAGAAAAAACATGTTGACTCACCCTACTAATAGAGAAATGCCAATGCCATCCTCCTCTCTTTCATGTTGACAAAACGGTCTATGACTCTGTCATACAGTACACGCTTTTATTTTTTGTTGTCCTAGGCTACCTGGCTAAAATGCTTGCTTGCTAGCCTAAATTCCTTTCATGGGCAACGTTAGCTAGTTAACATTAGCCTTCTGCTACCTATTGATTTCCATCCTCTCAGTCCAGGGGCACAATGTAAGAATGTATGGTTGGATCAGAACCGCCATTATAATCATTGGCCAGTATGGAGAATTAAGTAAAACAAGTCCAAATCCCTATCTCCATCCATGGCTAATTTAGGAAAGGGACGATTTTAGCTAGCTAGCTAGCCACCGGAGGACAACAACACAAAGAGATGCAACAATTCAAGTTTTTATGTTACAGTGCACCCCTTGAATTTTTCCACATTTTGTTACGTTACAGCCTTATTCTAAAATTGATTAAATTGTTTGTCCTCATCAATCTACACACAACACCTCATAATGACAAAGCAAAAACACGTTTTTAGAAATGTTAGCAAATGTATTAAAAATAAACAACTGAAATAACATTTACATAAGTATTCATACCCTATACTCAGTACTTTGTTGAAGCACCTTTAGCAGCGAGTGCATCCTCGAGTCTTCTTGGGTACGATGCTACAAGCTTGGCACACTTGTATTTGGGGAGTTTCTCCCATTCTTCTCTGCAGATCCTCTCGAGCTCTGTCAGGTTGGATGGGGAGCGTCGCTGCACAGCTATTTTCAGGTCTCTCCAGAGATGTTAGATCGGGTTCAAGTCCGGTCTCTGGCTGGGCCACTCAAGGACATTCAGAGACTTGTCCCAGAGCCACTCCTGTGTTGTCTTGGCTGTGTGCTTAGGGTCGATGTCCTGTTGGAAGGTGAACCTTTGCCCCAGTCTGAGGTCCTGAGCGCTCTGGAGCAGGTTTTCATCAAGGATCTCTCTGTACTTTGCTCCGTTCATCTTTCCCTTGATCCTGACTAGTCTCCCAGTCCCTGCCACTGAAAAACATCCCCACCGCCTGATGCTGCCACCACCACGCTTCACTGTATGGATGGTGCCAGGTTTCCTCCAGACGTGACGCTTGGCATTCAGGCCAAAGAGTTCAATCTTGGTTTCATCAGACCAGAGAATGTTGTTTCTCATGGTCTGAGTCCTTTAGGTGCCTTTTGGCAAACTCCAAGCGGGCTGTCATGTGCCTTTTACTGAGGAGTGGCTTTCGCTGGCCACTCTACCATAAAAGCCAGATTGGTGGAGTGCTGCAGAGATGGTTGCCCTTCTGGAAGGTTCCCCCATCTCCACAGACCATTGGGTTCTTGGACACCTCCCTGACCAAGACCCTTCTCCCCCGATTGCTCAGTTTGGCCGGGTGGCCAGCTCTAGGAAGAGTCTTGGTGGTTCCAAACTTCTTCCATTTAAGAATGATGGAGGCCACTGTGTTCTTGGTAACCAGATCTGTGCCTTGACACAATCCTGTCTCGGAACTCTCCTTTGACCTTATGGCTTGGTTTTTGCTCTGACATGCAGTCAACTGTGGGACATTTTTACATTTTAGTCATTTAGCAGACGCTCTTATCCAGAGCGACTTACAGTTAGTGAATGCATACATAATTATTATTTTTTCATACTGGCCCCCCCGTGGGAAATGAACCCACATCCCTGCCGGCCAAACCCTCCCCTACCTTGGACGATGCTGGACCAATTGTGCACCGCCCATGGGTCTCCCGGTCGCGGCCGGCTGCGACAGTCTGGACTCTAACCAGGATCTCTAGTGGCACAGCTAGCACTGCGATGCAGTGCCTTAGACCACTGCGCCACTCGGGAGTCCTCATATAGATAGGTGTATGCCTTTCCAAATCATGTCTAATCAATTGAATTTACCACAGGTGGACTCCAATAAAGCTGTAGAAACATCTCAAGGATGATCAATGGAAACAGGATGCACCTGAGCTCAATTTGGAGTCTCATAGCAAAGGGTCTGAATACTTATGTAAATAAGGTATTTCTGTTTTTTTATTTGTAAGAAATTAGCACAAAAATCTAAAAACCTGTTTTCACATTGTCATTATGGGGTATTGTGTGTAGATTGATGAGGAAATGTTTTTATTTAATCCATTTCAGAATAAGGCTGTAATGTAACAAAATGTGGAAAAAGTCAAGGGGTCTGAATACTTTCCAAATGCATTGTATGTATTTCTCTCGATGCCATGTGATTGGAGTGAAGCCAAATCCAAACTGGCTTCCCTTTACACTTTATTTTGGTGCGCCAGGACCATTCACAGTTGAGCTCACTCACTTTAGCTCAACGCTGTTTGGCTATTATTTTATACTTTTTTTTATCAAGGGAGGCCAAATGCTTGCTGGCTTCCCTTGCATTCAATGCTACAAATTGAAGGAAAATCATGAAAACACAGAGAGACAAAAGATAAATAATTCATACATTTGTATTTATGTTTTGGTAATGAATACACGCCACTGACAGACAGCTCAAGAGGTATGCTTAGATATTTTTGACATAGAATTAAGGACAATGATAATGGCTCTAGATTTCTGGAAAAATCTGTTTCAGGTGTTTGAAAAATGCACAATTCTAGCCTCCCTCCAGACCGCACCCCTCAAATTTTTCCCCTCAGATTTTTGGTGTGCATGTTGCCCCTGAGTGTAGGCCTGTACAAAACATATTTAGTCAGTCATATTTTAGAAAAGCTTTATAACACTCTTACATCACAAGGCGGAATGCAAGAAACATTTCATAAACATAGCCAAACACCACACTGAAACTCACTGTCAACTTACAGAGGATTCCATCTTTCAGGTAGGCTGCGGTGGAGAGATATCATATCACTCACATAGGTATTAATCTGGTGTTTATTAATACTTTCCACTTCCTTTTTCTTCTCCTCTCCAACGAGGTTCAATTTGACAGCTCTGCCCATTTCTCCCAAGGCATTTAAATCCAGCGGCGGTTTGTCATAAACAGGCTTTTTAAGCATTTCATTTGCAATATCTTGCTCAGTGGGAACTTCTCTTAGACTTGTTCCAACTATGTCACCTGGATTATTATGCCTGTTAAAAATATAATATACCACTATAGAAGCCCCGAAAAGGCAAACTATGAACTTCGACCGATTCCTTCCCCTGCAAAGTGCCATTGTGTCTCCCTACCTCACTCACTCCAGGGATGTGTTCATGCCCCGTGGGCTAAAACAGCACCATGGAAGTGCATGACCAAACCAGGGGTGTAACCATTAGTCCAAACAGTTGCAAACAGTTGCGTTTTGTAACGAAAAGGAGAGTTTCTATTGGACAAATTAATGTATGTCCCTCCCCGTTATGTTCCTTTTGCTTCCGTTTATGAAACGTTTTGCAACAGAATCTTCGTAATGAATATGCCCCAGATCCACCAAAACCACCCGAAAATTTGCTTCTGATGACTTTACGGATTGTAAGAGTCCTCCTCCTATTTCGATTGAATCAACTTTTTATATCAAACATGCTAGGCAACTTAAAGTTGATAAACTGTGTTGACCGAATTTGACTAATCAAGCAAGTGTCAAATTTTCCAACGCTCTTTTCCGTTATCCAGGGATCCAGCGCTTGACTTCCTTGGTCAAAGTTTATTGAAACAACTCATAAACGTACGTGATGTTAAAGAAGGATTTGCCCGATTAGATTAGCTATCTTGATGGATTAGCACCCAGAGAAAAAAATCCAGGTCAAATCAAAGACAATTTTCCAACGCTTCTGTGCCAGTAAGCTACTATTCCAAATGCACTTTGACCTCCCTCCTCTATTCGCACCAGTCGCAATAGACACAATGTAGCCTACACACCCCAACTGTGTTTCCGATCGAGCCGCACACAATTATTCAGGTCGATAAACTTGAGAACAACTGCAAAAGTTGTACAACTGCAAAAGAAGCTTGTGCTTACAATGTCTTCTACATTCCAGGTTAAACATTATATATGTTTTTCGTTACAGTGTAATAATATTTTAGCTGTTTCGTTTTGATTCCCTGTACATAATTATACAAATGAAAGACACATTCGTTTCAAGTTTTAATGTCACGTGCACAAGTACAGCGACGCCTTTATTGCAAGCCTAAACCCAACCATGCAGTAATCAATATCAATGTTGCACTAAAAACAACATAAGGTAGAACAAAAACACACGATAAATAAAAATAAGAACATGAGAAAGTAAGAAGCTATATACAGGGTCAGTTCCAATAAGATATTTACAATGTGCAGGGATACTGGAGTGATAGAGGTAGATATGTATAGGGGTAAGGTGACTAGGCATCAGGATGTATGATAAACAGAGTAACAGCAGCATAAATTAAGATTGTATGTTTGTGAGTGTAGAGTCAGTATAAATGTGTGTGCATGTTATGTGTGTGTTGGAGTGTCAGTGTGTGTAAGTGTGTAGAGTCCTGTGAGTGTGCATAGAGACAGTGCAAAAATAAAAATAAATACAAGGGTCAACTCAGATAGTCTGTGTAGCCATTTTGTTAGCTATTTAGCAGTCTTATGGCTTGGGTATAGAAGCTGTTCAGGAGTCTGCTGGTGTCAGACTTGACGCACCGGTACCACTTGCCATGCGGAAGCAGAGAGAACAGTCTATGGCTTGGGCCTTCCTTTCACACCGCCTGATATAGAGATCCTGGATGGCAGGGTGCTCGGCCCCAGTGATGTACTGGGCTGTCCGCACCACCCTCTGTAGCACCATGCGATCGAGGGTGGTGCTGTTGCCATACCAAGCAGTGATGCAGCCAGTCAAGATGCTCTCAATGGTGCAGCTGTATAACATTTTGAGTATTTGAGGGCCCATGCCAAACTTTTTCAACTTCGTAAGGGGGAGGAGGCGCTGTCATGCCTTCACAACTGTGAGTGTGTGTGTGTGGACCATTTTAAGTCCTTAGTGATTTGGACCCTGAGGAACTTGATCAACCCGCTCCACTTCAGCCCCATCGATGTGGATGGGGGCATGCTTGTCCCCCCCCCACGTTTCCTGTAGTGCACGATCAGCTCCTTGGTCTTACTGACGTTGAGGGAGAGGTTGTTGTCCCGGCATCACACTGCCAGGTCACTGACCTTCTCCCTGTAGGCTGTCTCATCGTCGCCGGTGATCAGGCCTACCACCGTTGTATCATCAGAAAACTTGATGATGGTGTTGGAGTCGTGCATGGCCACGCAGTCGTGGGTGAACAGGGAGTACAGGCGGGGACTAAGCACACACCCCTGAGGGACCCCGTGTTGAGGGTCAGCGTGTTTCAGGTGATGTTGTCTACCCTCACTACCTGGGGTCGGCCCGTCAGGAAGTCCAGGATCCTGTTCCAGAGGGAGGTGTTCAATCCCAAGGTCCTAAGCTTGGTGACGAGCTTGGAGGGGACAATGGTGTTGAACGCTGAGCTGTGGTCAGTGAACAGCATTAAATGGACTACTAGTAATAAAGTACAATATCACGTGACGGTAGTTTACTGTAGTTTTCAGGGACACTCTCCTTTCACGCCACTTTGATACAAAGTGATTTTTGTAGCAGGTTAGGAGACCATTTTTGTTAACCCTAACTCTAACCCTTTTCCTAACCTTAACCTTTCCACAGTGACAATGACTGACAAGGAACAAAAACCCACAACACTAAGGTGAACACTGACAGTTTAAATATGGCTCCCAATCAGAGATAACGAGCCGACAGCTGACACTCGTTACCACTGATTGGGAGTCACTGGACCAAACAATGAAACAACCAATAACAACCCAACTAATCCCCAAACACAACAAAAATGAACACACCCTGGCTCAATAATACAAAGTCCCGGAGCCAGAGCGTGACAGTACCCCCCCCTAAAGGCGCGGACTGCGACCGCGCCTCAAAGAACCCAAATAGGGGAGGGCTGGGTGGGTGTTGCTCCTCGGAGGCGGCTCCGGCTCTGGCTCCGGGCTTGACCACCTTCCTACCTCCATCCCCCCGTAATGGCCCCGGTCCGATCCCACCCAGCTGGCTGGATCCGGACTGATGACGCGCACCCCTAGCTTGGCGCGTGAGGCAGGGACGGACCTGACCTGGCTGACGATACGCATCCTCGGCTTGGTGCGTGGAGCCGGAACGGACCTCCTCAGGCTGACGACTCGCCTCCCTGGCTTGGTGCGCGTAGCAGGAATAGGCTGAACCAGGTTGACGACTCGCCCCCTTGGTTTGGTGCGAGTAGCCGGAACGAGCTGACCCAGGTTGACGACTCGCACCCTTAGCCTGGTGCGAGTGGCAGGAACAGTCCGGGTTGGGCCGGCGACGCACACCGTAGTTTTGATGCGTGGAGCAGGAACCGGCCGGGCTGGGCTGGCGACGCACCCCTTTGGCTTGGTGCGTAGAGCAGGGACAGGCCGGGCTGGGCTGGCGACGCGCACCATTGGCTTGGTGCGGGGAGCAGGGACGGGCCGGACAGGGCTGACGAAACGCACCACATACTTGGTGCGGGGAGCAGGAACAGGTCGAGCTGGCCTAGCGACGCACACCGTTGGCTTGGTGTGGGGAGCAGGCACGGGCCGGACAGGGCCGACGAAACGCACCACAGACTTGGTGCAGGGAGCAGGAACAGACCGAGTCGGGCTGGCGGCGCGCACCACAGGCTCCATGCGAGGAACAGGAACAGACAGGACCGCACTGAGGACACACACCCCTGGCCCTACACGGGGATCAGGAACGGGCCGGACCGGACTGGTAACACACCCCAGTACCCTTCGCCGTGCCTCCACACCTTCCTTCCCCTTCGTGACCAGTGGCCCCCTTAACTTGGCGGCCTTTTCTGCCAACCTACTGCACTCCTCTAACCCGTACTCCTGCTGCCCCGACGTCGTGAGCCCCCCCTAAAAATTTTCTGGGGGTCTCTCCTCTCGGTGGACCAGGCCTCTATAGTCCTCTCCCAACCTTCGCTCTTCTGTCTCCACCACTCGTCATCCAACTCCTGGAAACGCTGCTTGGTCTCGTTGTGGTGGGTTTTTCTGTCACGATCGTCTTCCAAAGGAGTAGACCAATACGCAGCGCGTTGCACGAACATGATGATTTATTAATATAAGCGTAACACGAAAACAACAAAACAAATGACGATACGTGAAGTCCACAGTGACAATGACTGACAAGGAACAAAAACCCACAACACTAAGGTGAACACTGACAGTTTAAATATGGCTCCCAATCAGAGATAACGAGCCGACAGCTGACACTCGTTACCACTGATTGGGAGTCACTGGACCAAACAATGAAACAACCAATAACAACCCAACTAATCCCCAAACACAACAAAAATGAACACACCCTGGCTCAATAATACAAAGTCCCGGAGCCAGAGCGTGACAGTCTCCTAACCTGCTACGAAAAAAGTCACTTCGTTATCGAAGAGTGTTTCCTGTAGTTTTCATGCACTGATGCCAAAGAGACTACTACTGTTTTGTGTTCTTGCATGAGCAGTACTTGTGTTATTCAAAATATTAATTTAACATTTACTTGTTGTTGTTCAACATTTACGGGTGCAACAAAGTTATCTTCATTATTGACAAATATTCATACATTATTTCTCTTAGCACTAATGTCACCTAGGCCTATATGTCAAAAATGTAAAGTTCGAAGCAAACATCTTTAAGCAAATTAAAATGATAAATAATTGAGTTAACTGTTCAGAGTGAGAAGGTAATTTGAGTCCTATACTGTTTGATTGAATACTCTTATTGTCAAAACAACAAAGAGACAAAACAACCGGAGTGTTGTAATAGACCATGGTACACTGACCTGTCTTACTATCACCGGAGGAAAACATATATTAGGCTACATTTTATGCAAGAGGACGTTTTCATACAAGACATAGTCAACACTCATGTTGTAGCCCAACAGGTAAATGTATTCTTTCTCTTCAACTATTCAAAAACAAAACAATATGTAAAACTGAGATACTGTAAATGCAAATTAAGTTGTCCATACACTCTTTTCTCAGACAGTAGCTCATCTGGCATTATTCTCAAGCGGCCAACAAATATGGCACTGCATCAACCCCTAGCTAATTGGCTTCATTTCCAAGGTGTTTATGATGTAATACCCCAGGGTGCTGTCCAGAGTAATGGACATGCTACAGAATTGTACAAGTGTAATTTACATAATT